GTGTCTCTAAACCTAAAAAAATCCAACGTCTGATCACTTCAAAATCTTTTCCAGTTACCAGCCCAGGTTTCTGATCACCTCTTTAGTAAAGCACCTCAAAAGACTTTCCTATAATTGTGTACACGTCTGGTTTTTTTAAAGATTTTATTTTTTAAGTAATCTCTGTATCCAATGTGGGGCTTGAACTCACAACCCTGAGATCAAGAGTCACATGCTCTACCAACTGAGCCAGCCAGGCACCCCCTGTATACTTCTATTCTTATTCATTCTTACATGCATTCCAACAGTTTCCTAGCCACTAATCTACCAAAATGTCTCTAAAAGAAGTTACCCATGACTTGATCTTTTCTTAGCTCTTACTGAGCCTATCAGCAAGTTTTGTGTAGTTGATCCTGCCCTCTCTTGCAATACTTCCTTCTCTTAGCCCCTGGTGCACTAGACTCTGGATTTTCTTCCCACTTTCCTCTCTACTCCTCCACAATGTTCTCTGATATTTCATCTTCCCTTCTTTGATGCTGCAGTCCCTTAATGTTTGGCTCAAAAACCCAACTCTCTATTTGTTCCCTAGATGACCTCATACTGTCTTTAAATATAATCCTATAATTCCCTAATGACTCTCAAATTCATATATCTGGCTTGGATCAATCCCTGAATCAAACTGCAGTATCCTATATCCAACTACTCTAGACATCTGCATTTAGATATCTAATAAGCAACCACAGTGTTAACATACCCCAAACCTATGGATTTACACAAACCCCAGAACCCTCCCACAGCCCTCCCCATTTTAATAAATGAGCATTTCCATTGTTCCATTTTCTCAACCTCCAAGTTTGGACTTGTCTGTGACCCCTCTCGTTCCCTCACATGCCATCTATTATACCAGCAAGTCCTATAATCCCTACCTTGAAAATATCTCAAACAGATGCCTTCTCACCAGCTTCAGCAACACCACCCTAGTCCAGACACTCTTACTGCTTGCCAGTATTAGTATGATATTTTCCTACTGGCTTCCCTGTTTTCTTGCTGGCATCTCAAGCTATTCTTCACATAGAAGTCAGAGGGGTAGTTTTAAGTCAAGTCATGTCAGCCTCTGCACAAAACCCTTCTTGTCTATCTGAGAGGAAACTTCCAAATCCATGCATTAGCCTTCTACGTGCCTTCTACATGCTGTGGTTCCCTACTCCTTCTTCAGCCTTACCTACTTTCAACACCATCCTACCCCACAACCAACATACTGTACTAGCCACATTGGCTTACACATTGTTCCTAGAGCTTACAACCTTGAAGACTTTTGTACTTGCTATTTTCTCTGCTAGCTGCATTCTATCCATGGAGCCACACAGCTAACTCCATTACTTCTTTTATGTCTTTGCTTACATGCCATTTCAAAGGAAATGCATTCCCTTACTACTGTTACGATCTAGTCTGCTCTCTCTTCCTTCATTGTTACTTATTTTTACTTCATATATTAGATATCTATTCATTTATTTATGATGTCGATATAAATTCCGTAAGAGCAGAAACTTTGTTTTTTTATTGCTGTTTTTCTCCGCCCCATCTGAGAACCCAGAACAGTGTTTGACCCAATATTAAACAGTTACTGATTTTAGGGGACATATGTATGCCCCATGAATACAAACAGTACAATGGGGTGCTGGGTGGCTCAGTCGAGTAAGCGCCTGCCTTCGACTCAGATCACAATCTCAGGGTCCTGAGATCAAGCCCCCCATTGGGCTCCCTGCTCCACGGGGAGCCTGCTTCTCCCTCTCTCCCTGCCTGCAGCTCCCCCTGCGTGTGCTCTCCCTCTCTCTGTCAAATAAATAAATAAAATCTTAAAAAAAAAAAACAACAACAACAGTAGAATAAAACATCTTTAAAGTAGCTCAAAGGGAGGAGTCCTGGTCTTTTATTTTAAAATCTGAAAGCTAAGAGTATGCCACCAATTTATTAATAAAAGAAAAATTATTCAGATAACCTGAGTTTGCTTGATGTGTGGCTACAGTTAAAAATTAACATTCTAGATATTTTATTATAATGAGCATTATTCTCCTAAACAGCTTTTCCTGGTTTTGAGAACATTTTTACTCAGGAGACAAAACATGGAAATTGAAATGAACCTGGGTTTAACTAATATTTGTATAATTGCATGTATAATTGTAAAATTATTGGATAATCTTACTGTAAATAAGCTTCTTAAACATTATTAATTCCATTTGAATACTAATTCATTTTAACAAGGTCTGAACTTTTTATTTCTAGATTGGTTTCGTTCTCTAATTTACATATTATTGAGTGTGTCTAGTTTTTTCTTCATTGCTAGATTAGTATTTGCTGGATCATCTTTCCATTTTTCTTTCTCCCAATGTTGCATTAAAGAACAGTATTTAGGAGCACACAGTAATGCCTTCTTAAAATAATGTTACTTTACAAATGTAATACCTTGACAGAACTTGGAGTTTGCAAAATGATGCAAGCTAAAATATTTTTGCTCTATAAAATGTATTTGATTCTCCTTCTCTTCTAAATTCCATGTATCTCCTTTCAATATCTGCTTTCCAGGATGCTTTGCAAGATTGATGGAGACATTAAATCCAAAAACTAAAAGAGAAAAAAATGTAAATGTGAATTTTCAGTTGACTTTAGAGGAGATATATTGCTTAATAGAAACACGCAGGAAACAATGCTAGTGGGCAGTAAATCCCAGATTAATTACACATATTCAATATGCTATGGAACCAATGCGTGTAACTGAACTTTTTTATAAAGCACTATAGTTTTATGATTTTTAACACTAGCCAATAAATTTACAAGCATTAGTATTGCAATACGTGATTTTTCCCCTATTACTGGAAGCGAAATTACTGTGCTCTATTACCAGCCTATTAGATCTCTAGTCCCACATTTTTTATTTATTGATTTCTTAAAAATCTGTGCTTTATGTCTTGTGGTACAATCAGCAATACACTTCAATTGTTGGAAGATTTGAAACTGCTAAGTAACAAATCTGTGAATTCACAATGATACTCTAAATGATCCAAGAAATGTCATTTTAAGCGGTAGTATCAGTATGTATTTTGGTTCATTAGCAGAATACACAATGGCTATTTCTAGCATTTTATCAGTCTCTCTGTTTAGCCAGTTTGTATTGCGATGCCTGGCCTGAAGCAATTCTATTTTTAGTTCTAATAGAACAGTCTTAAATTGCTTATTTTCTGTTTACTAAAATCATCCCGTTTGTTACCATGGAAACTATGACAAGTGCTCTAACTATTTTATTAAATAAATTGAAGATAGAGCTGAAGACTGTGAAGGTGCAGCATGTCATTCTTAAGACATATTTTTCATAACATCTGTAAAACCATGGCCGATTTTATAGAAAATATGAGATTAATTATAGATAAGGTCTTCTACATTTCAAATCTGGGAGGCTATTGACATTTAAAAATCTAAATCATAACTAGCACAAAGGCATCCCCAACTTACAAAGAGTCCAAGTTCTAAAAGTGTTTTTGCAAATCAGTTCCTTGGAAATTAGAACATGTTCACCCATAGAAACAATTTCATAAATAAGTAGATCTCTAAGCCCACCCTCAAAAGCTCTTCCACCTATGATGTCTCAATCTATAGCAATATTAGCAATAGTCTTTGTTCTCAGCTCTGGCAATAGGAGCCATGTTTCAGGGATGAGAAAAGAGGAAAGAATTTTCTCACACTTATTTTGTTTTTAATAGTTATGGCATGCATAGGACACCATTTTGGAATATTAGTATCCACTCGTCTTAGGGATATTGGGCTTCCGACTACTTTCTTCTGTTATTTGCCAGTGCCCCTGGCCTCCAACTCTTGGTCTCTCACTTTCTCACATCTCCCTCTGTACCCAGGTCCAGCTTGCTCCCAACCTGCTCCTCCCTCTGCACTGAACCATCATTCTCCTCAAGACTCAAGATGGTTCCAGCTAGTTAAAAAAAAGTCAAAATATGCTCTATTATCTGACTACTTGAGAACTTTTCCTGAAGGTTTACATTTTAAAAATATAATACTTTTGAACCCAAACAAATTCCTAACCTAAGGTTTCCATCACCATGACTAAAAAAAGAAATATCCAGAGGGTAAAGATGTGAGTAAGCTGCTTTAAGGAAATACTTAGTTCTAGAAGGCAGGTTCAAGAAGTCAGTCAGAATCAATTGATTTAAAAGAAATCAACACCTTGACAGAATTCTCTAAATCTTGGATCTTGGATTTTCTGTTAGAGGATGGATGGCAGTAGTTAATTGTAAACTGAGTCATCCTTTTGTTCATCTCATTTCCAGAAGATTCTAATAAAATATGTCTTATTAACCTCATAATTGTGCTTTAAAAGAATATCATCTTTTTGGTTAAGGAATCAAATTAACACAATAATATAGACAAAATTTTGTTCTTGTTTTCTAACAGATTACAAACCAAATAAAAGCATTATAATTTGGGCATTGTGAATTTTGCAGGAAAAAAAGAAAAGAATTATTGGAACATATACAAAGTCAATAACTTACTATTTTATATCTAGGAAATTAAAAGAGAAAAAGGAAATAATTTACTTAGCACTAAAATCAAGATAACACAAAGTTATCTTTACTGTTTATACAGCTATATTTTATATAGATTCAGAATTAATCAAAATATATACAAGAAACCTGAGTTTTCTACAAAGTTAAAGATTATGCTTTTTTCCCTATACTAACTATTATGGTGGTGGGTGTGAAGACAAATGAGATTTTGATATTCTGTTTTCCCATAAGGTTGTATCTGAATTTGCCTGTAAGGTCTTTATGGCAAAATTTGTACATTTTCATGTAAATATATGTGCAATGAAATATGAAATAAAAGTCAAATTATTTTTGTTAAATTTTAAATCATTTATGATAGAAAATTCTACAGGTTTATTAGAATTTTAATATTACTGACACTTCAAAATGAAGGCATATTTTTGACCTAACACTCATTTTTCATCTCCTTAGGGTCCACTTTCATTTGTAACACTCACATAATTCCAGTGAAAAACCAAGAGGGCGTGGCTATGATGTTCATCATTAATTTTGAATATGTGACAAATGAGGAAAACGCTGCCTCCCCAGAGAGGGTAAATCCAATATTACCAGTCAAAACTGTAAACCGTAAGTAAAAGGCAACATGTACATAATTCTGCTACTGATATTACTGCTACTAGTAATTTTAATACATTCTTCATTTGAGTGAGTTTTCAAAATATGTTTGCATTATAAGTAAAAAAAAAAAAAAAAGCCATAGCTGCCATTACCCTTTGGTGCCTTACAGAATTGATCAGTTGCTTTTACAGACATTTGACTTGGTTATACCATTGTTAATTCAACCAGTCCCCTACTGATGGACGTTTAGGTTGTTTCCAAATTTTGGCCATTACAAACAATGCCAGAATGAATTGAGTACATGTATGTATATTTTTGGAAAATTATTTTCAGGGTAAGAGTTTGTAAGTGGGATTCCTGGGTCAAAGGGTAAATGCATATGCAATTTTTTTAGATACTACTAAACTCCCCTCCCTAGGGTTTGAACCATTTTACACTACCACCAGCAATGTATTAGCTCTTCTCCCCAAAGCCATGCTAGCAGAATGACTCTGTCTTCTCGGTATTTGTCATTATGATAGGTGAGAAGTAGTACCTCAATTAGTTTTAGTTTACATTTCTTTTGTAATGAGGTTTACATTATGAATGTTGGTTCAGATATTTAAGCACTAGGATATTTCTTTTTCTGTCAACTGTCCATTTCTTGTATACATTTTTTTGTATTTTTTTTTCAAATGGTAAAATAAGTGGCACATCTCTTCCCAGCAAATATTTTTTGTCTTTTTCCTGATTTTTGTCATGCAAAGGTTTTGTTGTTGTTGTTTATTTGTTTATAGTGCAGCTAAATTTATCAAACTTTTCTTTGTTGAGTTTGAATTTTTGAGTCACTATTAGAAAAGCTTTTACCATTCCAAGGTTGTAAAAATTATATTCATAGAACTTGTACAGCTTTAAAATCTCTGATACATTTTAAGTTTAGCTTTGTTTATATTGGTTTATATATATATATATATTGGTTTATATATATAATATATATTATATTGGTTTATATATATCTGTGTATATATATGTGTATTTATATACACACATATATATATACACCTTGGTTTAGCAAAGTATATATTTAATTTATCATTTTATCAATGGCTCTCCAGTTGTTCTAACATCATTTATTAGAAAGTCTCTCTTTTCAGCAATAATTTGGGATGCCACCATTATCACATACTAAAACTTCCTCATGTGCTTGAGTATATTTCTGGACTCTCTATTCTGTTTTGTTGGCTTATTTATCATTCAGAAACACACTGTTTTAAATATACAATTAATCTCTGATATGACATGCTCCCTTTGACATTAATTTTCAGGGGTTTGAGGCTATTTCTTGCTAAGCATTCTGTATGAACTCTAGAAACAACTTGTTGAGATAAGGAAAATTATTTTGTTTTTTTACTGGATTTGCATTAATTTTATAATTAGTTTGAGGAATATTAACATCTTTATGATGTTGAGTCATTCTATACAAGAATATTACATGTATTTCCACTTTTAAGTCTAGTTTTTGTGTCTTCCAGGAGTGTTCACAATTTTTCTTACTCTTTAGTTTGCTACTTAGCTAGCATTTAACTTTTTGTTATTGCTGAGATTATAAATAGGATCATCTCTTTCATTATATCTTCTGATCATTTTTAAGGCTAGTGATTTTTTTCTGAGTATGTTAATTTTATATCCTACTATCTTAGTGAGTTACTTTAGTTTCCAGTTGACTCTCATGAATTTTTCAAGTAGAGATTGTTTTACATTTTCCTTTCCAATTCTGATATATCTAATAGTTTTCTCTTGTTTTATTGTGCTAGCTATTACCTCCAACATATTATTCAAAAGAAATTGATGGTAAACAGCATGCCTTGTTCCTGGTTTTTGTATGCATGGCAAGGGGTTTTCATTAATTCAAATGATAGCATTTGGGTTGAGTTGTATGTGTTTTATACTTTTAAGGCTTTCCATTAACTTATATTTATTAAGAATGGTGTTAAAATTCATAAATTGCCTTTTCAGCACCTGTGGAAATGAGTGTGCTATTCTTTTTATTTTTATGATACATTTTATTAATGGGGTTACTAACATCTCTGAAAGGAGTCACATATGATTATGATGTATTTCATTTTGTATTATGCTGTTGGATTCTCTTTATCTAAAATTAATTTAGGATTTTTACATCAGTATTCATTAGGGAGACTGACCTGTAATTTGTGTGCGTGTGTGTGTGTATATGTGCAATTTCATCAGGTATTGATATCAATGTTATAATTCCTTCAGAAAATAATTTGGAAATTCTTTTCTATTTTCTATGCTAAAGAACTTTCAAATAGTTTGGGGATTATCTGAACTTTAAAAGTTAAGTATGATTCTCCTGTGAAATCATCCAGGTCTGATACTTATTTGTGGAGTAGCTTTTTGACAAATTTCTTTCTTTTTTCTCCTGAGATTGGACTATTCAAGTTGTCCATCTCAACTAGTATCAGTTTTGCAAGTGTTTTTTCTCAAGAATTTTATGTAGATTTTAAAAATTTATTTTAATAGTATTATGCAAAGTAGTCTTTTATGATTTTTTTAAGATTTTCTTGGTTCTATTTCCTTGTTATATATTTAAACCACTTTTTAGTCTTTGTTTTGGTTGTGCTTTTTTTAATATATTCTGGGAGTTAGGTTTTCCTTTGTTTCTTATAAGAAAAAATGATACTTCTCTTTTAATTTATAATTATAATAGGTACTTATATTTACTGATATAACTACTATGGTTTTTCTTAGTACAAACATATTCTATGTTAAATATACTCTCTTAAAGCATGTCATTATGTTATGTTCTCTTTGCTTTTTTAAAAAGTTTAACTGTGTGGTTTGGGGTTTGTTTTATCCTGTTTTTGCTTTTATTTTGGTATTTGAAAGTATTTGTAGTTTTTTTCTGGTAGCAGTCTTTATAAGAAAATTTTATATAATGTCCATAATCTTTCCTCTTTTTCCTCAGACACTGTATTTTGATTTCTTACTATGAACAAGAATAAAATTAGCCTGTAATTCTTTTCCTCCCCTTTCCACCATGCAATTTTAGTTAATAGTATCTGTTCTAATTCTTATCTTTGCACTCCTAAGAATGGTCCTCTATCATTCCGTTTGTCAATTTAAATTATATTATTTGATTCCTAATTTTTACCAACAAGATACTTGATGAACTTATTCTATATTTCCTTCTCCTCTCATTTTATTTTGTTGCAGTATTTCTAGCTTGTCAGAGGCTGTGATATTCACATTCTTCTCACTTTTGTTTTGGTCTTAAATTTCTAGTGAAATATATTCAATCCTCAACACTAGTCTCCATCCCCATCCCCCCAAAGAAGTGATGTTTTTCCAAGGCTGCTAGCTGAGGTCTTGTGCACTTTCAAGTCACTTTCTGTAGTCTCTTTAAGTAACCAGTGCTCTGACCATTCAGGTCACACATCTGCTCTCAGTATTTCTTACATAGTGTGGAGTCCTCTTCATCTGTGGATAAACTGTATTTGACTGTGTTCCATTCCTCTGAGAAGACCTTTGTACTCCCCTTTTCTTCACTAGGTTTTGGCCCAACTCTATTGCAGTGTGCTTTCCTGAACTAATTCTGCTGGTCTTAGGAGTTTATTTCCCTGCCTATATGTAAATTAAAGTATGTAATGTCTCTGTCTCTAATTACTCTTTAGGCATAGTTTATGGATATTTTTACTTGTCTCATTTATTGATCTCTATGGTTTTTAGGAAGATCCATGAGGAAATTGGAATTTAGGTATCTGTTATTGTCTGTGGGGAGTTGGAAGTCTTGTCACAAAACTTTAATATTTGAAAAAAGAAATTTCCTGTATATAAATTCACATAGAAAACTATATCATTAAACCTAAGTTGAATACTAAGTTGCATACTAATACTAATACTAATACTCAGTTGCATACCAGCTGAGAATTTTTCATAGTATCAGTTACTTCTTTAGGTATGTCCAAATGACAGTATGATATTCTGTTAAAGCAATATTGGGAGAACTATATTAATGTAATATGATACCAATATACTGAATATCTTATTCTGAACAATATCACACTTGGGGGACAACTCTTTATCAAAATCACCAATGTGTCAGTCTCCCAGGTGACATATTTAAAAACAAAATTGAAGTACTTAAAAAAAATTATTGTAATACCAAAGTCTTGTTCCTTTAAGTTGATAACTATTTTTATTTCTTTATATTTCCCACTAACCAATTCAGTCATTATTGAATGATTCCTGGGAGTATACTTTAGGTAATGTCAGCTTGTATCTTGGTCATGAATGCCAGTAAGACCTTTTGTTTTGGGGGAATGCCTGATTTTATTTCTTCATTGTCTTCACAAATTCTTTATTTTCCCATAGAATAGTTATCTTGCATGGTCCATCAAATTGCATGGTAGTAAAAAAGGGAGTTGTGTATCAGCAGCGTAGCAAAAAAAAAGGGGGGGATTTTTTTAAAAAAAGTATTCATTTCAAACTGAAATACAAATGGAGAATTGAAACTTTGATTCCTTGAATGGAAGATAATCTATATAGTAGCTTCCCAGGATGTAACACATAATCTATGCAATTTTACACTGTGATTAAAATAGCATCTCATGTGTAAGCCTTAGCAAATTCAGTAGGATTGCTTTTTATTTTGTGAATATGAGTGGTTTCCCTACACTGCAGCTGTCACTCCTATACAGAGTCATTGGGGAAAGTATAAATATGCAGATAAAATTGTTTCCAGAGAATTACAAAGGACTATTGTTTACAACCAGTATATTAGATTTGATTATACCCTTCCGTCATTTTATACTCTGGAATTTCCTTGACTTGATGTCAATTTTTGAAACGTTGATTGTTAAATTGAGCAGAAAAGTTAAAGAGAGACAAATTACACTTGGAAGCTTCTGATACTATCCAAATTCTACTTTGTATTATTTGCGATTTTGGGGAAAATCCTGCTGATTTTTTTTTCTTTAAGTACAATTTTACTATCTGTGTAAAATAATGGT